GGTGAGAAGAGCCCCCCAGGAGGAACACCCATAGCTACTAATACTGTTATTGTACCATTGGGAAGCAGTGCGTCACTCTGAAAGTGACCTTTGCCTCCCACCCCACCCCGGAGCTCAGAGTGCCCTAATCTGCAATGTAATTACGGTGTGCCTGAGCCCTCCAGGTGCCTTTGCAGAGGTTAGCAGATGGCTGCTTCCTGGACATTTTAACCAAACACAGATAACCTCTCCTTGAGTCACACAGCACCTGTTCTTTATCAATGTCCTCAGTTTCCTACAGCGGCAATTTTACCATTTTTAAAGTATGTATTCATTTTTATTGCTTGGTACTGCTTGCCCACTTTCTCTGCCTTCTTTGGGGCATTGGGTGAGAGCCGAAGGGACTCATGTCTACCTCATTTCTGCTCCTGAAACCCTTCTGCAGTTTCCAATTTGCTGACAGTGCGCTCTGGGGGTTAAGTGGCTTCCAAGTGCTGGGTCTCATGGGAACTTCTGATGAATCCGAGCAATGGGTAGACAGCCATATTAGCTCTTTGTAGGTGAGGGGTGAGCTCAAAGCATTAGGTTCCCAATCCCCAGAGAAGAAACTAGAACTCTCTGGCCTGCACATTCCTGCAGGTATATACAGCGGCTAGGGTGTGTCTGACGCCAGCAGATGGGGAATTTGTCTTTTGCCCACTTTCCAAGGGGCCTCAAGGCGGGCAGGGGTGGGGCACATGGCTATGACTCATGCTTATTGTCACCATAGCCGAGAAATGGGCACCTGGCACCTGTAGGTGACATGGGCCTGTGTCACTCTCGGGCAGATGACCATTTGTACTTCTTCAGGTGAATTTAGAGAGGAGAGGGAGGAGGAAGAACTGGTGAGAGACACAGGGTCCTGATGGGATCTGGTCCTCTATGATTGACACACTGAGGGCACTCATTGTGTGTAGGAGTCAGACCTTTGGTCCGTTACCAAGGAGATAATAGTTGTAGGCAACCTTCCCTGTGCATCTTTCCATCAAGAATTTCACTGAGAACAAGGAGAAGGAAAGGAGGAGATGGGAAAAGACCACACACAAATAAAGAGCAACCTGATCAATCAATACATTTTCAATCTTATTTATCTATGTATTTATTTACTTATCTATGTGGGGGGGTATGCACATCATAGTGCTAGTGTGGAGTTCAGGGGACAGCTTGTGGGAGTCAATTCTCTCCTGTTGTGCGGATCCTGGTACTCAAACTCAGGTATCAAGCTTGGTGGCAAGTACTTCTACTTACTATCTCTCTGGCCCTTAATTTACATTTTTAATTTGTTTTACTTTTAATGTGCATGAGTATCTTTCCTGCCTGTATGTATGTGTGTCCCCTGCATGTCTGCTGAGTGTAGGACCCCCAGAAACTCAGGTATCCGGGGTCCCAGGCCACGACCGTGGTCACCCCAATCACCAGGCGGATTCGAGAGCTTGCTGCAAACTGCATGAGGCTTTATTGTAATTTAACAAGCTAACCCCATGTTAGCTCGGGTCTTTGATCCACCCGTCATGTCGGATGGCTAGCAAAGACAGTTCGGAGCCACTGCGTACAGATCTTTATAGGGCAGTGTAAGGGGAGTGTCTAGGGGGGTATGCACAGGCTCAGGATTGGTGTGCTTCCAGGCTTGGAGGGCTTGCCCTGTGTTGATTGGTCAACTGGTTGTTATGGCTCATAGGCCCTCCCAGGGTGGTTGCTATGTTCTGTGCGTCATTGCTGTGCGCTTGTCCGTAAAGCACACCCAGAGCCATAAAGCATAGTGCCACCAGCTAACTTCTGATTGGTTCCTTGCCACGAGGCAGGCATCTGACTTTCTAGTGACTAACTAACTTCTGATTGGTTCCTTGCCACAAGGCAGGCATCTGACCTCTAAGTGACCAAGGCAAGGTTATGGCAAGCACGTGTTTGGCTGTTATGGCTGCCGAAATGGGGAGCTGGCCCCTTCAGTGAGCACAGAGGTCAACTAGGGTGTCAGGTCCTGGTTGTGAACCACTAGGTAGGCTCTGGGAATCAAATTCAGGTACCCTCCAAGAGCAGCAAGGGTTCCGAACCTCTGAGCCCTCTCTGCAGCTTCTATTTATTGTCTTTTTAAATGTGGCCTCAGGGAGTCATGGTGGTGCATAACATTAATCCCGGCACCCAGGAGGCAGAGGCAGGTGGCACTCTGTGAGTTTGAGGCCAGCCTGGTCTATGTAGGGAGTTCCAGGACAGCCAGGGCCACATAATAGAGAGACCCTGAGTGAGATTGAGGACATGCCCCAAAACAATAAAAAAAAAAAAAAAAAAAACCAGCAACAGACTAACAGAAAGAGAGAGGAGAGGACAGGAAAGGAGAGAAGGAAGAGAGACGAGGAAAGAAGAAAGGAAGGAAGGAGGGGGAGGGGAGGGCAGGGGTGGGGGCAGAGTTCATGTTCAGTGCTCTTCAATAGTTATCTATCTATCAAACAGATCAGACCAAGGAATGATTTTCTACATGGAAATCATCCTTTTTGGCTCTTGCCTTGGGACACAGAAGACCAGTCCTTACTGAACGGTGTCTGTGGAGACCCCTGGATGTCCTAAAGGGTGGTGCACCAGAAGCAAGTTGCAGCCACGCTTTTGCCTCATGTTAGACGCAAGCAGCAGGGTTAGAAGCAAGGAGTTCACCACTCAGTGAGTTCAAGGCCAGCCAAAGCAATGTGAGATCCTGTTCCTAAAACAAGGAAGGGAGGGGCAGGGAGGGAGGGAGCGAGGGAGAAGCAGAAATAATCCAATTCTGACAATACAGTAATTCCCATCACTAGCAGACAAACATCAGACTAACACTCCTTGGGATTTTTTTGTTAGTTTTTTTATATTGCTTTGGGAACTCACAGAGATCTGTCTGTGTGTCTCTGCCCCCAGAATCCTGGAATTAAAGGTGTGTGCCACCATACCTGACTCATGTGTTTCTGTTTGTGAATTTTGAGACAGGGTTCTCTGAAGTCCAGTCTGTCCTTAACTCACAATGTAGCCAAGAATGACCTTTAACCTCCGACCCTCTGCCGCCATCTCCCAAGTGGAATCACAGACATCACTCCCACATCTGATTGATGTGATGAACCCTGACCTTCTTGAAAGCCAGGCATGCTCTCAACCAGCTGAGCAGCAGCTCTAGTCTCTAACTAATGCCTTTATAATTTATTATTATCTTTTTTGTTTTCCAAGACAGGAACTCAGAGATCTACCTGCCTCTGTCTCCTGAGGGCTGGGATTAAAGGCATGAGCCACCACTCTTAGCAGCTTATTAATTTTTAATTTATGTATATTGTGTGTCTATATGAGTGTCTGCCGTGTGTGTGTGTGTGTGTGTGTGTGTGTGTGTGTGTGTGTGTGTCAGTCCTCAGAGGCCAGAAGAAGGCATTGGCTCCCCTGTGGCTAGAGTTTCACACAGTTCTGAGCTATCTGATGTGGGTGCTGGGAACCAAACTCTGGTCCTCCAAAGGAGCAGAAATGCTCTTAGCGTCTGAGCCATCTCTTTACTCCAATCAACCTATGCTTCTTGATCCACTAAGTAGGACTCACTCTCCCTTCGATGATGGAGAACAGGCTGTTGCTACCTGCTGTAGGGAGGGCCTGACTTGAAGAAGATGAGGGAGGTGAAGGTGCATGGAGGAGGAGGAAGTCCACTCAGTTAAGAAAGAATAGAGAGACAAGTAATAATTAGTCAGCAGAGAGAAGAGGAAGGGATGCTTCAGCGGGCAAACAGCAACCAAAGCCTGGGGCGGGAAGGAAGTAATGCGATTCCAAGCTAGAGGGGTCAGCAGAGGCGGGGTAATGGAGGCTTAGGGTCTACTTTTTCCCCAGAGAACATTACAACTTTTCAAACATCACAGCTTTCACTGTGTTTCTTTCAAAACCAATTTCTAGTGTAGAACATTCCCTAGGAGGGAAGGCTGCACACATCCGTAATCACAGTTATTTGTCTGTGATGGGAGGATTGTGTTCAAAGATAGCCTGAGCAATTTAGCCAGCCCCTGCGTCAGAAAAAAGGAAGGAATGAAGGAAGGGAATAAAAGCGGGACCATGGTGGCGCACGCACTTGGGAGGCAGAGGAAGGCGGATTTCTGTAAGTTCGAGGCCAGCCAGGTCTACAGAGCCTGTGCCAGGACAGAGAAACCCAATCTCAAAAAACCAAACCAAACCACACAAAACAAAAGCACCAGCTGAGCAATCATGAGGACTGAACTTCAGACCCAATAGCCAAATAGTATCTTCTCTGGAGGCCCTGACACCCTGACACCCTCTCTGGCCTCCAGACACTCATTTCCTGGCACACATATTCATAATCTCATGAAGATATGTAAATAAAAGGGGCAGGAGGTCTGGTTCAGTGTGTAAAGGTGCCAGCTGCCTAGTCTGATGCTCTAAGTTTGATCCCGGGACTCGCATGGTGGAAAGAAAGAATTCCTACAGTTTGGCCTCTGACCCCACCCCCCAAACACATAGTGACACTCACGTACTCTACCCCACTTCCACATACACAAATAAATACATGTTTAAAAAAAAGTTGGGGTGGGGGAGAGAAGCCTCCCTATGATCTAATGTGGAGTACATATTCATGCATACTCATATGTATGGCCAAAGTGTGCTCCTTACAGTGCCTAAGTCAGCAATTAGAGCCCACTGTGGAGGCTGAAGATAGTTCCTATTTCTCCTGAACTGTCAGCTCCACTGCCCAGGTTGTAGTCCTCCTCACAAACATGGCAGGTTGTCAGAAAAGCTAGCCAGGAAAGGACAGGAGGCCCAGATTTACGCTGTGTGGACACAGGTCTCTTGGGGAGCCCACAGGGAAGGCAGACAGCCCTTACTGGGTATCCCACAAAAGCACTTTGGGTAGAAGCCGAAGGGAGGGAAATAAGGACCCCTCACCTTGGGGGGGGGTCCCCAAACCCAGATGAGGCAGAGACTCAAGAACTCTGAGGCAAATGTCACTTCTGGCTTTTTGTTTTCTCCTCTTCTAGACAAAGCCACTGGATTCTGTGGTCCCTCCGGAAGGCCAGTCATTTCCTGAGGAGATATCAGGCCAGCCCAGACCTCATTGTTCTTGGTTTCCAGCTATGGCCACCATTACCTGACAAGTACCAGAGTTGGTCTCTCTGTGGGCGCCTAAAGAAGCCGCCAGAGTAGTTTCTGCTTTTCACACAGAGGATTTCTGGTCTGTGACGGAGAAGAGAATTCTGCCCCTGAGGCATGGCCAGAAGGCAGAACTAACTGTGAACCTCAGTCTGAGACAATCTTCCTCTCAAGATGCAGCTGAGGTGGGCCTCAGTCAGCAAGATGCACCAGGCGGTCCTGCTAACACTGCTTCTCTGTGAGTTTTTAACTTACTTTTCTCTTGTTTCATGAGACTTGAAGTTAGTGAAATCAACAGATTTTTTTTCCCTGTCTCTTCCAGATTCAAGCCTCCAGGCTCAGGAGAACTGTAAGTCCTGATGTTTTTATGTAGCTTCATGTTTGGTGTCTTTTCTGAGATTCTTAGCTTGTGTTAGACTGCTTAGAGTTGGTATTTGTAACGACTGAGAAAAATATTCCAAAGAACAAAAACGTGTTTTAAGACTCCAAGAGTGTGTTTTAGAAACATGGTTGTAGAAGATTGTTCCAAAACATAGTCTTAGATCTTGGTGGATTGCTATTTGTTGGAATTGGGGAGATGCTTTTTTGTTTTCCCCCGTCAAGACAGGATTTCTTTGTGTTACAGCCTTGGCTGTCCTGGAACTCACTCTGTAGACCAGGCTGGTCTTGAACTCACAAAGATCTGCCTGCCTCTGCCTCCTGCATTAAAAGTGTGCACCACCACTGACCGGCAGGGAGATAATTTTTTACAAATCCAGTGATCTATCATTGGTTTTCAGTCTTTCTACCCTAAACTGTTGTTTGTTTGTTTGTTTTTTCATCTCACTACATCTCCAATTGTTTACTTTCAAGATCATCTATATTCAGTTGGGTTTGTTGCCTATGATCCCAGCTTTTGGGAAGCAGTCACATAAGGATCAGTAGTCAAGGCAACAGGCTCACGAAGGCCAAGGCACTGATTGTAAATAGATTTTAGGACTCCCTTTCTCCTAGGACGTTAAAGGGAGAGGCCAGATCTCCTCTTTTACCCACGGAGGTGCTTCTACCTGAGAGGTTCTGTGCCTGCATGTGGGGAAGGGTTCTGTCTTAAAATCCAACCCATCATCCACTCTGAAATTTCAGTATAGGGGTTTTATTCTGCTTGGTCTGGGACTCTGAAGGAAGGGCCTCAGCCGAGCCAGGGGGCTGTGGCCCAGGAATAAGTCCACAGGTTACATTGTCAGTCCAAAGACACATGGGTGTCCAAATAGGGATCCTGGGTTGTAAGCTCACCCACCTGTATAGCTCTTCTGAGCTGACGTATGTACATGACGGAACTGAGTTGAGCCAAGGATGTAACGGTGGCCCCAGGGTGGGGAGGGCTATAGTCCATAAGTCTCTGGTCAGTCTGCACTTCCTTAGGTGTTTGACTCCCTTGGCAACTCTTAGAGGCAAACTATGTGTTATTTTAAAGCCATCCCTACTTACAGATAGGATCACTAAGCTTCAGAAAGATATGAGTCAGCCTGAAAAGGGGGGGGGTCATCACCTACCATCTGATCCCTACTACCTAAGACCCAGATGTCTGTCTCTATGGGGCTTATCTTTTGCTTTGCTTTGCTCAGTCTGGTTTGAGACAGGAACCTCACATTGTAGCCTAAAGTAGGTTTGAACTCACCGTATAGCCCAGGCTACCTTTGAACTCTAAATTCTCTTACCTTAGCCTCTTAGTGCTGGGTTCACAGTCGTGTGTCACCACCCCTAGTGTCACAAATTTGCTTTGTTTCTTGGGCCCTTTCCCCCTTGCTGTAAAATGGTATGGTCCACAGACCCTGTGGCATGGAGTAGGCTAAGGTTGAAATTGGAGTAGAGGAGGTGACTCGCTTGCCGTCTACAGGGGTTAGTAAATGACAAGGGTGTTCACTCCTAGCCCACCTTTATAATTTAAACTTCTGTCCCATTTATTCCCCACCCCAGTCATGTCCCCTTATTTCTCTGTCTCTGTCTCTTTTGCATACACAGGCTGTCAGGTCCTCAAACTCACTATGTAGCTGAAGATGACATTGAGTTTCTGGTCTTCCTGCTTTTATCTCCCAAGGGCTGGGATCGTAGGCACACATCACACCAGGTTTATGCAGTGCTGGGGACCAAGCCCAGGGCTTGAAGCACGTTAGGCAAGCACTCTACCAACTGAACTGCACACCGGCCCTCCCCTATGTCTGGATTCTGCTCTGCCAACCCTAGGGGGTTCTTGCATCGCAAGGTCTCATAGCCTGTTTTCCATGGCACCCCTTGTCCTCCTGCCTCTTTCTCTGCTTCAGATGACACCAGTGTAAGAAAAATGAGGCAGAGGGGCAGACAACGGGCTGGGACTGCTTGATTGGAACAGCGAGGGGCCTCAACCTCTCTGAGGGCTGAAGACTGGACATGCTTATAGGGGCTGGCAGACATGTGTGTTGTGTGTGTGTGTGTGTGTGTGTGTGTGTGTGTGTACCAGGAAGTTACAGTGATTTTTTTTTTTTTTTGTGGTTGGACTAGAAGCAGAGTGTGTTCTTTTGATACCCAGACATACTGTTTCTGCAGGTGGAGAGGAACCCACAGGCTAGGACTGAGCCATTCTTTATGGCTAGGGGCTATTGGTCAGTACAGCCTTACTCAAGTCCTTATGACCTGAGGCTATTATACACTATATCCCAACTCTGGGAGGGTAAAGAGAAGAAGGGAGGAGGGTTATAGTGGGGTGGGGGGGGTCAGGAGACTTCTTCCAGCTGGAGGTGATGGTCTCAGTGGTGGAAGGAGCAGGCTAAAGTCCCTTCCAGGTGAGATAGGGACTGGTAGTTTCTGGCCATGAAGAACTGAGTAATCCTCTGGGAGGTGCAAGCTTGTAGTCTTTGTTGAAAGAACTTAGTGAGACAGCTGAAAAGGCGTGGACCAAAGATTAAGTGTTGTCTACTTTTTCTCCATGTTTAATTCTGTGAGTTGTTTAGCATTTTCCTGCACTAGGCCACGCTGGTTTGCATAAAAAGCAGCCCTTCTTTCCCTAGGTAGGCTCAGGTATCTCCGTTTTTGGCCATCACTGATTAAGTCTAGTCCTAGTGCTTTGGAGGATCACTGCAGCCAGGGGTTTGATTTGATAGGGCGATTATGATTTGTTTTACCAAGATCAGGTCTTCCTTAACCTGATCGGTCAGTTGGCTATGTTGCATCTGTTGGGACTCTATCTCTTGTTGTAGGGTCAGAGCCATGGGATGGGACACACATACATACATACATACATACACACACACACACACACACACACACACACACACACACACACACACACAGGACAAGTTACATAGAAACACTCGTTTCGTAGAGGGAGAAGTTTGGAGGGTAAAATACTTAGTAACGGGGTAAAAACATGAGTTTGAGGATAATAAGGGGGAAAGCAGTGACTGGGAAGAGCACCACACCCATAGGAGAAGGCTTATGGTTGGATTTTTGTCTGGTACCCGTGTCTTTGGGTCCCATCTCAAACCATTTGGGATTTGATGGTGTGGAAGCAACATCATTCCGAGAGGAGGACACAAACACCACCCACAGCCATCACCAGATTTAGTTGTGGAGCACTACAGCAGCCAAAGAAGGGAGTTGGTTCTGAAGGATGTCAAGCTGACCTGAAATTTCTCTTAGCTTGAGAGCTGGTGAAGCGTCGAAGTTAGCAGGAAAAACCTCAGTGTGGCGGGGTCCCCCTCAGAGACCACCTGAGCTGCTTTTAGGGATTTAGTGTGCAGGTCTCTCTTTGAGTTGGCAAAAGGGACAATGTAGAAAGGGCACCAGCTAGAGGACAGTCCATCCAAGGGGGCCTCAATAAAGCTCAACAGATGGCAAAGACTTGGAGCAAAAGTTAGTAGGGAACATTAAGAGTCAAAGCTGACACCAGCCCGTCCCTTTCTTGGGTTCCTAGAGAATGTTATTTTATTCCTCCAAGGAAGGCTGTGGAATGAGGACTCTGCTGCTGACCCCTCAGACCCCTGCTTTGTTTTACTATACAGGCAACTGAGACCCAGCTAGGTGGGGGCAACACTAGGGGTAAGCAAGCCGGGCTCCGTCTCCCAGGCCACCCAAGTGGAGTATGTGAGATGCATGTTTATTGCAAGTTGCCCACGTCACAAGTCAGGTCCCGGCCAAAGTTGGCCCTTGTCCCTCCTTCTGTCTCAGGCCCCGGCACATCTCTAGCTCTCACCCCACTGCAGCCTGCCTCTGTTCATTTTAGGAGATGACTTCAGCTCCATCTTCATCTAGAAAACATCGGGTCTGGAGGGAACTCCCTGGACTTCCCGCCCAACCCTGACTGATGGCTAATCGGCCTCCCTACCCATCCTGCTGGCTCCTCTCCTGGCTTTAGAGCGCAGGTCCATCCCGCAGGCTGGTCAGGGCCCCCTCTGGGCCATGTGGGCCTGAGCCCATCCCCTCCCCCACCACAAAGACTTCACTGTCCCTTTACTCCTGTCTTCTTTCAAACTCCAATAATCTCTACTTCTGGTTCCTTTCTCTGCATAGACAAAGCCAATTGGTGGCTATTGTTTCAGGAAAGAAAAACAAACCCAATCTTATAAAACCTGCCTACCCCTGACCCCTCCATATCCCTGGTGCCCCCACCCCTAGAGGCTTCCATTCTCTGTGGAACTTGGAGGCTGGTTTTAATGGCTGACATGTCTCCACTTCCTCCTGTCATGGCCTCCCAGCCTGGAATCTCTGCCCCCTAAGGAGGAATCACCAAAGACCATCTGACGTCAAGTCGATTCATCCTGGAAATTTTGCTGCCCTTGACTGAAGATTTATCTGAGATCTGGCTTCTCTGACCTAGGATTTCCTTCCTGGTGTTTTCTGTTTCTACTAGCTCTCTTACTCACCCCCAGGGAAGACCTGACTCTGCCTTGGGTATGAATCTAGATTCCCACCCCACCACCTTCCTTTCTCTGGAGCCCCTGCTTACAGTCTCTCCATAGCCAGACTTTCTCCTCAGCATGCCAGCCCTTCAGATTTCCCCTTAGCACCAAGGTTTTGTTTCTTCTCTTAGCTTTTACCTGGCATTTTCTGTAGCCAGGAAGCTGGCTTCTACTTTTCTATATTCAACCAAATTAGGCATTTAAAAACTGTAGTAAAATAGAAATAATCTAAAATTTATTCTCTTTTTTTCTTCTGGTTTTTCAAGGCAAGGTTTCTCTGTGGCTTTGGAGGCTGTCCTAGAACTAGTTCTTGTAGACCAGGCCGGTCTCAAACTCACAGAGATCTGCCTGCCTCTGCCTCCCAGGTCATGGGACTAAAGGCGTGTGCTCCCCCCCCCCCCCCGCTAAAATTTATTCTTTATATCTTCATTTATTT